ACATAATACGGAGTAGTGAACAAAATTTGGAATAGCTATTAATTAACTGGGTTGGGCTAAGCGAATGTGGGCTACCAATTACGTTACTCTATGACTAATGTCTAGTTATTTATTACACATATGTTACCTTTGTTCTCCCTAATATTCTCCCTAATATCATTCCATGAAGCGGAGGTGTGGTTATTAAGGAAAATGATTTTATGTGGATGATGTTGATTTGATAAAGTAAGATAAAGTAAGAATGATTTAGAACTCACAAACATTACTAAATTTGTTATGTGGAATCCTAGTTGGATGAACGTATAAAAAAATGAAACAATCTTAACAGGACGGAAAGGGTAATATACTACCTCTGTTTTATTAGAAGGTTCTCGTCCACTATTCACATGGTAAAATTAAATCATTTTTAATCTTTTACTTTATATATCAGGGTTTTTTTTTTGTCAAATTTACATTTTTTGTCAGGCTTTATAACGGATTTAATGTAGTTTCTAAATATGTAAATTTTATCAAGCATCGTAAACCTTCAGCGGGAACCTTCTAGCGGAACGGAGGGATTACTATATATTTTCTTCACAAAGCTCTCCATCTTATAGAAATATACTACGAAGTATATATTTTCTTATGCAATTTCATATTCATATTTTTAAAGATGTTTGATCTAATGAGTTTTTTTTACAATGCCGCGCTCTCCAAGAAGTGTTTCATTATTTTGCATTTATTGCATAATTATATTGCCCTTTTAATTTGTTAAAATAATCAAGTTACAGTCTCATTAGGAAATAATTCTTTTCTTTATTACTGCCTAATGATATAGTTTTTGCCCATGGGACTTCAAAACTATACGACCCGTCATGCATTGACATTGATCTTTTATTAAGTTTGATAATATTATTACTCGTAAATACTACTCCCTCCATCACGCAAACAAGTTCTCGATTTGACCTACACATATTTATATAAGGTAGAGTTTTGTTTTGACCTTTTTTTTTACTCCAGGGGGTCTGGGGAAGGGGGGCTGGGGGAAGCCTGGAATAATCAGGGCTGAAACTCACTCCATTGAGTTCCACACCCTTGTGTGCCTAGCGGGATTCGAACTCGAGACCTTCCACTAGGCATGGTAACCTCACAACCAGCTGGGCTGGAATGCTTGGTGGTTTGTTTTGACTTTCCAAATTTACCCTTACTTTATGTCAAATCAAGTAAATTTGGGTAAAAAGTAAGGGTAATTGTGACTTTTGGGATAAAAGCGGTTTCGTTTTATAGAAATGAAAACTTCGTTTTGGGACATTCATAAAAGGAAAGTGAGAACTTCTTTGCGAGATGGAGGGAGTAAGGGTAGTTGCATTTAAATTTTAAAACACAAAAAATGAGAATCTAGATCAAATCGACTCGTTTCAGACGAGGCATATAAGGTTTAGTTCCCATTTCAAATATAAAAATACATATATATCCTCGGTCCAAGCCTATTCGTTTAATAGAACAATGTTTGCCAACATGTTTAATAGAAATAGTGGTTTTCAAAATTTATACACAGCCTAGTGTAAATAATCTTGCAAAATTATGGAGGAAATTCTCGAAATATAAGTAAAAATGTTTGGAAATATAAGCTTGAAATATATTGTCATGCTTAAAATCAGATATTGTCACGACATGACAGTAATTACTCCTATTTAACGAATAAAACATGGCAATTCTATTATTTTAGTATAAACTAACGTTTTTACGTATATTTAAGATACTTTCCCAAAAATATACCGTAATTTTCAATGAAAGTTCGAGACACTTCAAATACTCATAAATGCTTCTGCCGTTGAATCAATAACATTTTTATGAATGCATAAGGCTGAATCAATACCGTAATTACAAGAATTTTTATAATAGATCCAGACTATTTCCTAACCAATAGCCAATAGGCAGGGCTAAAAAAACAAATCTTACATTGTACCCGTTGCACTATATTCATTGTACCATTGAGTATAAATAAATAAATAAAATATTATTCACTGCGTCCCGTTAAGATTGTCGCATCTTTTCTTTTCGGTTTATTACGCTAAAATGTTCTCACAACAAATATACTTATATTTGTGTTGTCCTAAATCATTATCACTTTGTTCTTACTTTATTAATTCAATATGAATCACAAGAAGTTTTAACCTGAATCCAAACGGACTTGATCTGAGACTTGATTGCAGTAGAAACAATAGATGGGGATGAAGTATCGCATTATTCTAATCAGATGATGATACCATCAATCCATCATACCAGTACATGTGAGAATTAACCCCAAAGAGAAAACATATAGAATTTTCCATCCTATAAACTGATAAATATGAGTGGTGATTTAATTTTTCTTTCTTTTTTAATGGAAAAAGCCACATATGGCGCAGTACAGTAGCATCAAAATTCAGGGGGGATGAACTTGCTCTAATACAAAGGTCCACTCTCATGTGAACCCCATCAACTTGATTATTATCCTAACCCCACATCACATACACACCCATCCTATACTGGCTGTTCTAAAAACCATCACTTTAAGGTGAAAATTCAAGCCAAGCCCAGGTGAAATTAAACAACAAGACCTAAACGTCAAAAAGTTGTTTGATTTTTCTTTTTATTTACTACTTTCTACGCTATCTAATCGAAGTATAAGAAATGAATACCTAAAAACATGGGCAATCCTGAACATGTTTTTATTTGAACTGAAATATTCTAATATGATCTGGTAGATATATATTTGATATGATTTGCTTTGATTTGATCTGAGACTAAAATAAGCTTGAGCTTCTTAAAGCTATTACGTTCAAGCTATCAATTTTGTTTTTCTTTAAGCTATTACGCTTCAAAAAACTGTGTCATCACTCATCTTTAAGTTATTATGGTTTTCTTGAAGTGAATCTAGTAACCGTGAGAAATGGAATTAGGTGAGAACATGTAATTATCATCTTCCCATTTAATCAAGACTCTCCTATCATGTACTTGTTGCTTTATATATGACCTTCAATGATAACACACATTTTAAGAAAGTGAGATTGTTTGACACTGTTTGCATATTGTTTGACACCGTTTATTATTATTTTGCACTGTTTCGTTTATCAAAAATTAAAGGAAATGAAACTTTTATTTAGGAACGATCCGAAGAGGATAGATGAAGTTTTATTTAGAGACAGAGAGTATTAAATAGTTTGAGCTGGTACTTGATGGCGCAAATAAAAAATGAAAGTACAGGAGTACTAAATTGTGTAAAGAAGTGAAAATTGAGGATAAAAACTAACCAAATTAATCGTAGAGAACTAAATTTGATATTGATTCAATAGTCGAGAACTGTTTCTCGTATTAGCTCAGTCCTTTCTTAGTACCGAATGGAAGAACTATACTTATGTGGCCCATAGTATACACTATTATAGAAAATTTCCCTTTATTTAGAGTTAAACCTTCCAATTTCTTGACCAGCATAATTTTGAAACATAGACTATTAATTAACTGTGTAACCATACCAATGTATATTCGTATACACATATAATTGTTTTATAGTACGGAATATTATACTTGTATAAACTATAAACGTTAGAAAGCATAATTGTTCATAATTGTGCGTGGTAGCCCGGAGTGGATCAGTGTCAAAGAGGTGGCGAGGGTTCAAATTAAATCCTACTGCCATCTTCTTATTAAATCAAGTTTTTTATTGTAACTAATAAATTTTATGTAATTTTAATATATAATATGGAGTATTTAATTAGATGTAATTACATATTTCATTCATCACATATAGTATTTCCAACTTAAATTAGTTGTAAACACGTATTTTATTCTTCACATATATTATTTAATTTTTATTATTTTTAGAGAAAATTCCTTATATAAGATTAAAAATAGACAAAGTGTACATACATGATTATTATTTTTTCTTTCTAAAATAATAATTTTAATAATAATTATTTTTAATAATTATTATTATTAAAAATACAGGATTTATTCGCTCTTATTAGAGGAAGTTTTATACTTTTAAATAGGATTAAATAAGGCATAATTTAGAAGTAAAACACATTTAGTCCTATTAGTGCTTTTTTTTTAAATTTTAGTCCTATTTAGAGCAGTTTTTCGTTATTTTTATTATTTCTGAAAATTTTTATAATAATGGTATAGTATGAATTTGTCCCCTCACTGAATTTTCTGGTGATCACTATCGGTTATACTCACGCTTATCCACTGCTCTTCTTGTGATGTGTGCTTATCCACTGAATTAATTGATTCTACTGAAATTTATAAAGGTCCTGGTTGAAGTGATTGAACTGGTTGATTATGTTGAATTATGAAAAAATTATGTTTAAAATATACTACGTATTTTTTTTATCAAAATAAAAAAATAAATATATGAAAAACAGCTAAAAGCCTAAAATGATCTTCTACTTTAGTAAATTCACTTAGAAAAAATAACTCTAACATCACTTGTTTTTGATTAATATATACACTACTCAGCGTTCGAAGTCAATAGTAGATAAAAAAAGTTGTTTGAGAAAATTGATAAAGTTTTATAAACCGACTAAAAAGGTCATTAAACGGGATCATAGTAACAACACAGAGTTATCACAATATTAATGATCAACTTTAAGAAATTTTATATAATTATTATTGTTAAACCATAAAAGGCAGTCGTACACGAAGGAATTAACTAATTAAGAGGTAGTATTAAACCATATATTGATATCTGCTCTAAATTTTGTGAGATTCTCTTAGGATGACCAGGTCAACACATATGGACGGTGATCTATTGTGAAAATATTTTCACCCCATCCCACCCCTACCCAACCCAACCATTTCATGCACCCTATACTACCCTATGAATTATCTCCCCAGACCCTTAGTTGTACACGGCTGACCCACACTATCCACATCTCCATATTTTCCCTCAACATACCCAACTTCAAACAACTTGTAATAAAAGTATTAACTTGAACACTTGTACATTATCAAATATAGGCACACAAAACTTGAGGCAGGTCAGATGTGCGTTTATTTATATAAATAGGTCAGAACTTAATAGTTTCATCACCAACAAAAACTAATCATATTCAAACTGTTTCTCTCTCTATCTCTAAAAATGTATGCAAGTAGCGTGGATGAGAGCACTACAAGTGACTCCATATCCGCCACATTAACTCTGCCACCCGCCACCAGGTCGCCGGAGAGCCTCTGCCGGATGGGCAGCGGCGCCAGCGTGATCATTGACACGGAGAACGGCGTGGAAGCCGACTCCGGCCGCAAGCTGCCGTCCTCCAAGTTCAAAGGCGTCGTCCCCCAGCCGAACGGCCGCTGGGGCGCCCAAATCTACGAGAAGCACCAGCGGGTGTGGCTCGGGACGTTCAACGAGGAGGAGGAAGCCGGGCGGGTGTACGACATCGCGGCCCAGCGCTTCCGTGGCCGCGATGCCGTCACGAACTTCAAGCCGTTGTCGGAGACCGACGGCGAGTACGAGGCGGCGTTCTTGAACTCCCACTCAAAGGCGGAGATCGTCGACATGCTCCGTAAACACACTTACGCTGACGAGCTCGAGCAGAGCCGGCGGGCCTTTAACATTAATGGTAACGGTAACGGTAACAGCATTTCCCGGAAACCGGATTCGTCTCGACTGGAGAAATCCCGGGAGCGGCTCTTCGAGAAAGCCGTGACCCCGAGCGATGTCGGGAAGCTGAACCGGCTCGTGATCCCGAAGCAGCAGGCCGAGAAGCACTTCCCGCTCCAGAACGGCGCCGTTACCTCCAAGGGAGTCCTCTTGAACTTCGAGGACTCCAATGGGAAAGTATGGAGGTTCAGGTACTCGTACTGGAACAGTAGTCAAAGCTACGTGTTGACCAAAGGGTGGAGCCGGTTCGTGAAGGAGAAGTGCTTGAAAGCCGGGGACATTGTGAGTTTCCACCGGTCGACCGGACCGGAACGGCAACTTTACATAGACTGGAAGGTGAGGAACCTGACCGGATCCGGACCAGAACCGTTGACCACTCCGGTTCAACCGGTTCAGGTATTCAGACTATTTGGGGTCAACATTAGTCAAACTCCAAAAGAGACCAGTAATAATATGAGTAGTTGCGGTGGGCGGAAGAGGACTAGAGAAGTAATGGAGTTTTTGCCATTGCAATGTAGCAAAAAGCAAAGGGCTACAATTGGAGCTATGTGAAATGATAGACATTAAATTTCGGATATTATTATTTAATTAGACATCTTTTTTAAAATGTCAACTTAACTAGTGCTAAACGCACTTGTTGGGTGTCTAATTAATTAATCTTTTGTTAAATTTTTGGTCTTTTTTTGTTTGGGGAAATTAAAGTGTAAATTAGTGTTATTAGTAGTAAAGAGTGGCTATCCTCCAAGGAGCCTTGTCATCATCTCCATCTATTTGCTTTGAACCATATTAAACAAAATATGGAATCGCAAATGATATCGTGAAAAGAATATATTTCCATTTTAATAAATAGTGCATATTTATATAGTACTCCGTATTATGTTTCTCAATTTATTTTTCCAGCTTTTAAACGGTCATTGACTCTTGTTACTTTGTGCTCAAATATCCTTGTAAATTTTTTATGTACTTTTGATAAGCATGTTAAAATAACATTATGGGGTTTATTATGTTTGTTTAGAAAAGAAGAAGTTATAATCAATCAAAAAGTTATTATGTGATAACATAAATTAGTACGGAGAATAAAAAGTATAATTAGAAATGAAATAAGAAATATCAACAGATTAATTAAAAACTTATTATGTGAAAGCCTAAAAAGAAATATGAAAAATTCATTTTGGGATTAATGGAATAGGTTAGCAGTATTTTTTGTGATAAAAAGACTAAAATTTATTTTAGAAAAATGTTAGATGGTTACCATCATAATATATTATTACATTCTCCGTACTACCTCCGTTCTTAAATAAGTGCAACATGTTGAATTTTATACTATTCACATGTTTTACTTTGACTACGTTTAATTAAATAATGTATTAATATATTTTCTTGAAAACATATTGTTAAATTTGTCTCATTGTAAATTTTCAAAATCTATATTTTTTAATTTTTTTATTAACAAAAAATTATATATATTAATGGTCAAAGTTGTCCCTCGACAAGTGTAAAATGTTGACTGTTGCACTAGAGTAAGTATATTTCAAGAAATTAACGTACAGATAGGGGAAGATGTATGGTATATATTTGAGGGACCATGGCCCTCTCTCAGTCCATAACTTTGCTAGTTTGTATGAATAATTCTTGTGCTATTATTATATACTTGGTATATATTTATAATTTTATATGGCTAAATATCTAATCAGGCTTAGCTTTTTGAGTAAATTAAGTAATAGAAACTTTGTTATGTGCTGCATAGCTCAAATTTATATTGATTAATAGGTGACTTATCGTATTATTTGATGTATGTATTACTTTCTTGTTATTTCTCACACACAAAAGTAGTTATTCGGATACAATTTCCGTGTGATGGGTATTTTTTTATGGTATTTTTGTTGTATAAAATATTGGCCCGGTAAAGGAGACTTACTGGCTCCACAACAGCAACTAGCCAACTGGGGGTTTATATTATTTAATACGGAGTATTTTACTCCGTATAATTTCACTTTACAATAAATACTCCCTATGTAATGTTATGTGAAATATATGGGAAATTTTCTTAAGCTGAAATGACTTAAATATAGATAGTATTCCTTCCGTCTAAGAGTGTTATTTAAATTTTCAAATAAAACTTCATAAAATTTGACCATAAAACCATTCATATGTGTGCTCCGTCGAGCCAAATTAAGGTCCTTAATTCGTTGTATATGATTTACGGGAAATAGAGTTAACTAGCACCCCATTATAATACTTAAATTTACAATAAATAAGATGTGCACGCACTTAAACTATTGTAAAAAATCATTGAACTCTAAACACTGAATTCAAATAGTATATATAGAAATTTATCAATGAGATTATATATTTATCGAGACTTGCGTTGGTTCAAAGATTGGCACATAAAATTGGGATGCATATGAAATAGAGTCTCATTCAATTTGCTTTGAAATATATTTAATTAAAATGTATACAATGTCACATCAAACATACATTTAATTTGAATAGTATGGAAGTCAAATTCTAACTTGATTTCGGAAGGGAGGTAGTAACTCATTCGAATAAGATTCTAAAAATCATTTAATGTTGATAATCCATCACACTATTTGCGATGCTCGAATGAATTAACATTTAATAGTACACTAGGTATATATTAAAAACAACATTTAAACGGAGTATACGAACTTAAGAAATATTTCGAAACAAAAGTAAAAATGTGGATTGTCATATTTTTATTCTCTAAAAACGAGCGATTATTCTCAAGCTTGAAAAATACTACTACATTTGCCCCACTTATATTGTCTTGTTTCACTTTTTCGGGAAATCTCACTAAAATGGTCTCATATCATACTTGGTAAAATTTGTATGCTTCTAAATAACTAAATTATTCTAACTTACCAATCAATATCAAACACACAAGTCCACTTTTTTAATAATGGTGTCACCCTCTTCCGTCTTAATATAAGGGGGGACGGAGGTAGTATTACATTTAAAATTTGATACTATAAAAACGTTTATAGTATAAAAACATTTTTAATCCTATGAAAACAACACTTAGCCATGGATGATACTACACGTATGGGAGTATAAAAACTTTAATTAAGACCTTTTGAATGAGGATATTGCTTGTCCGTTTTTGTGTTGTTGGATAGTGAAGAATATAATCTGAATCAGCATAAGTGATAGAAAGCAGTTAGCAAGTAACCAAATAAGCTAATAATGTTCCAAATCTGGGAGATGTACGTAGCATAGATAGCTAGCTAGCTTATCTTTTTATATTAGTGGCCTACAAAGATCAGAACAGCAAAAGAAGGATTATTAATTAATGAAAATTAATGCGAGATGGGATTTTTGTATTGATTTATCCAACTAAATATATTTATGGTACGAAAGTACGACTGTCTAGTACTACTCATTTATTAATATTATCATTTTTGTGAGAGAGCAGAAAGTGATTCCAACCGTGGAATCCCAAGTGAAATGGAGAACACCTAATAATAGTAATTTCCCATGATGTTCCGTATGACCGTATTTAATATTCATTCTCTGATTAAAGTTGATCAAACAAATTTTGAAGGGGAGTAAGTAAATAGTATTGGCCGATTGGGCATGTTTGTCACTTAAAAATATATGGAATTATATTAGCGGTTGCTAATAGATTCAACGAGTTTGATTGGCGGAATGAGTTGATTGGTTGCCCGAAGATATTTAGTACGGAGTAATTAATTAGTTATTTGATTAATTATAACAATTACGTAGTAGTAGAATACACTATGCTTCAAAACAGGTAATTCAAAACCCTTCTATTTGCTGTGTTTTCATTTTAGCGATTCCGTCCAAAAACGCAAGACTGAACAGTTAGTTACTATACAATGTTTCACTTATTGAAAATGCTACAGAAGTCAAACCATCATTTTGTTTGCTAGAACACCACTTTACAAACATCCTCAATGTTTAATTAGATTATTATACATCAAAACAGCTTCATGTGAATGCCACATGTGTACAAGCTCGTGTACGCGTCCTATTTTGTCTGCGTAAAAACCCGTTCTTTTACGTTTTTAAAAGAACGTAAAATTTGGCTGTCACAATGACAAAATCTGGAGTACAACTCTAATATTTTTTCAAATTTTGTTTGCATCACAGAGAACTCATCTTATAAAAAATGTAAAAAAATTAGGTGTGTACAAATATCATTGATACACATAAAATTAGGTGGGTACAAATAACTACCTCTGTCCCACTAAGTGGGACAAGAGAAGGTGACACGATTATTAAGAAAAGTGAGTTTGTGTGGTTGATATTAAGAGCCCGTTTGGAGACCTCTTTTTTCGGCTTATCAGGCTTATCAGCCAGCTTTTTCACCAAACACGTAACTTTTACTTTTGTGTGCTGAATTGTGTAATAAGCAGAAAAAGTAAGGTTGGAGTTACTTTTCCGGCTGTATTGGTTGAAGTTACTGTAGAGGACTATTTTAGCTATTTTTACATGTAATTTTTTCTATAATTTATTAATAAAATATATTTTTAAAATAGTTTTTACTTGAATCAGCAGAATCAGCCAAAACAGCCACTTCAGCCAGAATTTCATAAATTTCAGCAGAATCAGCCAAAACAGCCGATTTTCGTGCTACCAAACGGGCTCTAAATTGATAAAGTAAGGATAAAGTAAGAACGGTTTAAAGCCACACAAACTTTACCAAATTTGGTACGAGACAATCTTAGTAGGACTTTCCAAAAAGGTAAAATAGGACAATCTTAGCGGGACGGAGAGAGTAACTTTTTAGGGAGAGGAAAATAAAATCACTTACATATTCCCTACTTTAAACAAACACTACAATTTTTCTTGATGAGGACAATTGATACTCCATAAAAATTTACGAGAATTAATGAGAGAGTATTACCGTTCTTCGTGTCCACACACAATAAGGCTCTGTTTACAAGTGATTGTGCTTAAATAAAAGTACTTTTTGGGAAAAAGTTATTTGTAGTAAAAGTTGGTAGTGTTTGGTAAAATAAGTGCTTTTTGTGTAATAGAAAAAGTAAAAAGTAGATTCTACACGAAAATCGAGAAAGTAAAACTTGGTATTATTTGATAAAATAAGTGTTTTTTTCTTAAAAAGACCAAAAATACTTAAATTAATTATTTGCAAACAAAGCCTAAATATTTGGGATAAGATTTTGTCCCATCCATCTACGTGAGTGAATCTCACCGTCCTTTTTATTTTCACTATTGGTATTCCATGGCCTATCTCTACGTGGCCACTCAATAACCCGTCCGTATATGTTACAAGAGTACTTTTTTTGGGTACAAGGCACTAGAAAGAATACAATGCAAAAAGAATAACATTCTATCACTAAGTGAGTGTTTTTAACAGTTTCTGCTTAAAAAAATCACTTTTAGGATGATTTGGAAAAAGTGATTAATTGTAAAAGTTGATAGTGTTTGAGAAAAAAGTGATTTTGAAAAGTAAAAGTTGGTAGTGTTTGCCTGTTTGGTAAATAAGTGCTTTTGGTGTATAAAAAGGGGAAAATCACTTTTGACACGAAAGCCGAGAAAAATAAAAAATTGGTGGTGTTTGGTAAATAAGTGTTTTTTAAAGCCAAAAGTTGAGAAGTGTTTTTTTAAGCTGTTGCAAACCAGCCCTAAGAATCTTTAGCACGCTCTCGACGGTCATGGGCGGATCTATTTTGGGAAGGGGGTGGGCTCCAGCCCAGCCCAATTTTTCATTATTATTATAGGTATAGGTTTAATTTCCAGCCCATCTCAAAATTAATGTAAGCCTACCATCTTTGTAATTCTATTTTATTAATAGTTCAATTTTTTCAGTAGATAGTAAAATACTCCCTCCGTCCCGCTATTAACTTCCTACTTTCCT